ACTTTGCTGAAATATGTTGTTCACATCAAATTCAAAGTTGGCACATTTTTAATGAACAAATGCACTGCACTATTTTCATATAATACTTAAGCGCCATTTAAATGATCTGGATTTCATTGCATGCATTATGTGCATTTACAGGGTTCCGGTTCTTATTGGAAACAAGGTTTTAGTTGCAGGGTGTCTCTCCCTCAGTCAGCACAGAGACGCAGCACCTCTGCCGCCATGACAGACAACAAACGCCTCGCTTTCTCCATCATCCAGTTCCTCCATGACCAGCTCCAGTCAGGGACTCTGTCTTCAGATGCTCAGGAGAGTCTCGAAGGTGAGTCCTCAGACATGAAGAAGAAGAACATGAAGCTGCTCAGTTCATTTCTCTCCTGACTCAGAATGCACACTTAAACTTTCTCATGGGGAATAAGTATGATGTTCAGAGTTTGTGTGGTTTGCTGCTGTGTGTCGTAGTGTCTTATAACCACGGACCAGGGATATCATAATGAATGGAATTATTATTATTATTATTATTATTATTATATTTGTTTTTATTACAAAAGCTCAAAATTCCCGTGACTCCATTTGACTGTGATCTTGGTCAAAATCATCACTGACTGTTATGCCAGCAGATTTTCTGACTGAGTCAGCTACAGCACTAAAAAAAAAGTTTAGGCAAGGCAAGTTTATTTGTATAGCACAATTCAACAACAAGGTGATTCAAAGTGCTTTACAGAGACATTAGAAACAAGAACAATGATTTAAAATTGATTAAAACAAGCAAACTAACAAACAAACAAAACAGTATATAAAATCAGTAGTTAAAATGTAAGTTTTGAAATTTAGGCTTAAGTGTGGATTTGGTGTTTTATTCAAATGCAGCTGAGAACAGGTGAGTCTTCAACCTGGATTTAAATAAACTGAGTGTTTCAGCTGATCTGAGGCTTTCTGGGAGTTTGTTCCAGATATAAGGAGCATAAAAGCTGAATGCAGCTTCTCCGTGTCTGGTTCTGACTCTGGGAACTGATAAAAACCGGATCCAGATGACCTGAGGGATCTGGAAGGTTCATCCTGGGTCAGGAGGTCACTGACAAGCGCTTGTTACTTTAATATTTCTTTCCACAACATAAAATACAGCAGCACACGTAGTCTGGCTTCATATGTGTGAGTCTGGGT